AAAAAATCACTCCATTGTCCCTAGATGATTAGCCTCTACTAGTTAGCAAGTTTCACTTCCTGTTTACTACTGCAAAGCTTGTCGCCGACGTCTGACGTAATCACAGGTTGCGTAGCCTCGTTTATTCACATCAAACAGTCTAGAGGGAAACTAGATGGAAACAGTCTAGGTTCGAATTTTTATTTATTTAATTTTTTGCGAATTTTAAAAAGTTCGATAAAAATTCACTCTTCAACTGGATGGAAACACAGTAACTGTCAAACTGTAGCCCAATATTGGCAAAATTGACTTTGTTATAACAACTGAATAATGTTTCTAAGTATTGTCGTCAATGCATGTTACCATATAAAACTGATCTTTTGTCTGTTAATCTTTAGAATATGTGTTGAGGATGACTCATCTACTAACACACCAAATTTTAGGTCATACTTTGCAAAGACATCTGTAGTTTAGCCATTTTGTGTTTTTGTTTTTCTAAGATCATTTAGCTGTGGCAGTCATCTCTAATTAGGTTGATCTAAAAAATTAACCAATTGTAGATATCTATACACTTCAGCAAGTTTCTAAAGAGTTTTTTTTATAACTGACACATAAACAAAGAAAAACACTGCCATCCATCCTGTTATATATTTAAATCACAATAAATTATGACTTCATCCATTCAGTAAACGTGTGCAACATCCACAGCTTATCTAAACTGAAATAAGTGCATTTGCTTTCTGCTCGTCTGTGAACTTTTGTTTTTGTTGTTTTAGCTGCAGTGTGTTGTCTCTCCATGGTGACACAGGCAGTTGTGAGTAATGCTGCTTCGAAAGGGAAGTGGGGCCTTCCAGGAGGAGGAGGAGTTCTTAAGTGATGACTCACTATGGGCTGGATGCTGTGCATGTGTGTGCACAAGATTTTCTGTTGCTCTTGGGACACTAAATGCTTGGATTAGTAGGGAGGGTGAGGAGAGCCAGGGATTTCCCAAACTTAAATAAAAAAAACCTAAAGAGTGAGCAGCAGGTTTTACAGGCAATATGAAGGTGTGGTGATCTCCACACACACACACACACACACACACGATGTGTTTGTGGCTGCTTTTAGGTTAAGCCTAGAAATTATTCACAACAGTAGTGATGAAATGCACATTACAACAACAGTTTTACCTTGGCTTGAACTGATGTGTAGTTAGAAATGTGAATGTGACACTTTTGGACTGAGCTGGTAAGTTTATAAACAGTATATACAGTATAAGAATTGAACCTGTGGTTTGTAGAGAAATCCGACATAACTTTTGCCATAAAGTGGCACTTTTTAAGCAGAGTTAGGTTTAATTTAACTAAAATGAAAGAATTTACAACCCCAGTTCCAAAACTGTTGGGTTATTGTGAAAACTGTAAATGAAAGCAGAAAGCAATGACTTGCAAATCTCCTAAGGCCACTTTGTATTCTGATTGGAACATAGTAAATGTATAAAATGTTTAAACTAAGAAAGTCTTTTACTTTTAGGACTTTTTGAACTTTATGGCAGTATCACATCAAGAAAGGAGGGCATCAAAAGGCTGTAAAGTAAGTACTATGAAAAAGAAATGGCTGGAGGAGAATTTAACAGCTAATTAGGTCAATTATCAACAAGGCTGTAAGAGAACATGGTATAAAAAGAGCATTTCAGAGAGGCTGAATCTCTTGGAAATAAAGATAGACAGAGTTTCATTAGTAAGAGAAACCTTGTCTACAAAGAGAGCAAAAATTTTAGAAATATGCTCCTTAACAGAAAGTTGGGAAAACTCTGAATATCTCATTGTCTACGATTCATAAATTATCTAAATATTTTTAAGAATGCAGAGAAATCTCTCTTTACTTAAAGAACAAGTCAATCTTAGACACGCGTGATCTCCATGTCCTCAGGCAGCATTGAATAAAAACAGATGTGATTCTATTATGGACATTGCTGTATGGTTCATTGTAAATGTTTGGCATGTCATCCCCGAGCACTGGCTAAAGCTCTATCATGCAAAGAAGGAGCCCATAAACAAATCACTTAAGTTCATGCTTCTTGACATTAAGAACAAAAGAATCAGAAGAGAAATACAAGAAATATAAAAACAAGCTAGTGTAGATTATAGCATCAGAAAGAATATTACAGTGATGTATTAGATAAAAGTAAAAATGATATGAAGGCAACATAGAGAGTAATGAATAGTGTGTTGAAAATAAAGCAAAATCAAGCATTTCACAATATTTTGTTGAGGATGACAGTGAAATTTATGTTTAGAATGAAATTGTAAATGGATTTAATCAATATTTTGTCAAGGTTGGCCCAAATCTTGCAGTTAAAATACCAAAAGTTGATAACAATGTGAGTCATACAGCCATGGGTTGTACCAACAGTATTTTTCTTAAGAAAACTGACAAAGAAGAAATAATGAATATTGTAACAAATCTTGCAAACAAACGATCAAAAGACTGGTTGGATATGGATATGAAGTTTATAAAGGAAATAATGGATTATGTTATCGAGCCATTTACTTATATCTGTAATTTATCATTTTCATCTGGTATATTTCCTGATAACATGAAGACAGCCAAAGTAATCCCTCTCTACAAGAGTGGTGAGAAACATACTGTATGTTTACAAACTATAGACCGATATCATTATTGCCACAGTTTTCAAAAATTTTGAAAAAAATGTTTGTGACCTTATTAGATCAGTTCATTGATAAACAAAATATTTTAAGTAAAAATCATTATGGTTTTAGAGCCAACCACTCAACATCAATGGCTCTCTCATGGACTTCACTGAACACATAACAACTGTTGATCAAAAACAATACTGTCTCAGTGTTTTTATAGATTTAAAGAAAGCATTTGATACCATTGGCCATAGTATCCTTCTGGAGAAACTAAACAAATATGGCATAAGAGGTCCAGCACTACAGTGGATATCGTTATTTGATGAACAGGAAACAGTTTGTACAGATAAATGATGTAAGATCTGAATTTTGTAATATTGTACTGTATGTGGGGTTCCACAGGGTTCTGTACTGGGACCAAAGTTGTTTCTTTTATATATTAATGACTTGGTAAATGTATCAGGGTTGTTTAGATGTGTTTTATCTGCAGACGACACCACATTTTTTTGCTTGGGTAAAAACATAGAACAGATGTTGGAAATGATGGAAATAAAATTTGTAAAAGTACTAACTTGGTTTAAACATAATAAATTATCATTAAACTTGGATAAAACAAATTACATGACATTTAGTAATAGAAAGAAAACAACTGATGTTCCATTTAGAGTTGATGGTGTTGAAATTTGCAGAGTCAGTGAGGTGAAGTTTTTGGGTGTCATCATTGACAAAAAACTGACATGGAGACCTCATTTAAATTACTTAAGAACAAAAATAGCAAAATCTATTGCAGTATTGTATAAAGTTAATGACTTATTTAATGATAAATCACTATTTATATTACATAATTCAATATTTGTTCCACATTTGATTTATTGTCTAGAAGTCTGGGGGAATGCATGCAAAACAATTACTAATCCTACTTTTATTTTGCAGAAAAGAGCTATAAGAATTATCACAAGAAAGCATTACTATCACAATCTAATATATTGTTTCATCAATTGAATTCATTAAAATATTATGAGTTGGGTGATTATAATATTCTGCACGTTATATATAAAGCTCATAAAAAAGTATTACCTTCAAGCACTCTATCAAATTTTGTTAAGAGGGAAAGTTGCTATAATTTGAAGGGACTAGAAATGTTTGTTAAACCATAAATTCAAACAACTTGAAGGACAGATGCACTTCAGTTAAAGGAATAAGATTATGGAATAATCTGGAAAATGTACTGGTTCAATTAATTAGTTTTGAAAAATGATCAAAGTAAAACTGTTAAAGAAATATGAAAATGTTTGATTTGTATTTGTAAAAGTTACTGTTTGAAGA